TCCATAAATTAATTATGAAAAAGATATAAATATTTTAATTTATTTTAATTTTTTCGCAAACATGATTCTTTTTTATATTAAAAATAGTTACACTAAAAATTATATTAAAAATTAGGAACATAAAGTACTTTTTTTAAAAATCAAATCGCTCTATACTCTATATGTGTAAGTTTATTTTCATAAATCAAATGTCTTATTATGTTTCTTTTTAATTCTGTATTTCAACTTTCATATACAAACAATTTTATATATATAAATTTATATAGTCATAAATTTATAAAACTGAAAAAATTTCTACTAAAAAATATCAAATTAATAGAATTAATAGAATATTTTCGTCCTAATTACAATCAAGCCTAACAATTAGTTACGACTACAGCGATTATATCTATTTTCAATATCTCTTCAATTGCAGCGACATACATTAGTGCCTTGTTTTACTATGGAAAAACAACTGTTGTAAGAAAATTGTGAACAGCGAGAAGACCGTTAACCTCAAGGACCGATTATTGTAAAATGGAAAGATGGATTTATCGCGTGAGAATCATAAGTTTTGAACAACGTGACTGGAAATATCGAGATCTTTTATTCACGATTTGCGAGAAAGAAAGAGCATAAGCTTCGAACAGGTGTTAGAGGTCGAAGCATTTTGCTTGATAATAACTGACTAGCTATACGATGTTACAACGGCAGATTCTTCCGCATTTTGCTTTAGGCGAGCATACTTGTTGGTAATAGCTGAAGTAGTAGTATACCGCTATAAAAATTGATAAATGTCAGCCTTTGTAGAAACTCATGTATCATTGCTGCAAGCTACTCAGAGCATTCGATAAATTCCAATGAATTTAGAACAAAGATAAAAAATATAAGAATGAAATAGGATAATTTTTTTATATGTAGATAATTATAAAATCTATATTATTGTAAATTTTGTTAGATAAATATGAGATTCTTTTTTATAGATAATGTTAATAAAGAGCCTTAGAATGGTATTAGAATATATTAAAAAATGTAGCATTTGAAAATCTTGATTAAAAAGAATGGGAAACATGTAGAATTGAAAAATATATTATTATAATTATAATAAAAAACCGTTGATGATATTACTAATCATCAATCAAATTTTTACTAATTTTCAATGATTTTTCAATAAAATGTAATAAAATATTGTACAAAAGATACAACTCTTCACATCATCATTACAAAGAACATATTATGATGGCTTAAAAATTCAAAGAACTATAGTTATATTTTAATATTATCTTGAGAGACGTGCGATTCTTAAAACTCGCAATACAGTTATAGGTTGTATATTACAAAGTCATATGGTACTGTTATTTCAAAAACTAAGCCTGTCTTGAGTTTATTCAATACAATTTATTTAAACTTATATTCTAGTAAGTTTACAATATTATTTATTTTATTAATTATTTTTAATCATTTTATATTTTCACAAAAATAATTATACTGCTACAATTATATTGTAACTTACTGTAAATTTTATACACAAAATTAGAATATAGTTAAAGTTATTTAAAGAAATTGAACGTGTATAATTCAATTAAAATTATGATTTAATCATATCATGTGTCCACATTAAAAATCATAGCATGACGGTGAATCTAGATCCGCTCTGTTAAAGTCAGTAATTGTTATTCTCGTTTTCTATTCGGTAACAAAAGCTTTTTTAAACTCAATGTTCATCATGAGATCTCTCTCTTCCTTTACTTTTCTTTTTTAATCATATTTCAATATAAAATTAAAAAAATAATTACAATATAAAATTAAAAAAATATTTACAGTATTTATTAAGATTTATTTTAAATTGTTTAAACAAGTTGTTATTAATATTGTTTAAAAATAAATGTAATAATTCAAAAAATTATATTTAATATCTATCCTTCGAATAAATACTATATGCATATAAATAATATGCATATATCCTATATAAATAAATATTATATACCTATACATATACCTATTTCAAATAAGAATAATATAATATGATAAGTAAAAGTAATAAGATATAAAAGTAACATTTGGATGAAAACTTAAAAAAAAATAAGAATATAATAAAAAAATAGATTAATGGTTCAAAATAAATTAAAATTACAATATGATAAATCACATGTATCGAAGAATAAACGAATTTTTTAATTTCTATCGCCTTAGTAATAATCAAAATACAAAATAAAAAAGATTTTCAGAAAATTCTAGAGATCTAACTATTCTTCCTTTAAAAATAACATCTTAATATTAAACTTTTATTAACAATTATCAATGTTTACTTTTTTAATGTATGATTAAAAGAAAAATTAATGATATTGTTAACTGACAAATCATTATTAATAATATTAAAAAACCTATTAAAAACTATTAAAAACCAATAAAAAATTAGAAAAAAATAAGGAATGCATCTTATTATTTATATACTGATATAAAAATAAAATATATTTATAATTATATAATTATGTGTATATATATATATTATAATAAAACAAAATAATAAAAGATTAGATAAAAATGTTATTTTTAATATGCTGTATAACAAATATTTTCGTAATAAATTATATTCAAAAAAACATGCAGAAAAGAAGTACTGATTCAATTTTTCTTTACTTTTTCAATTGGTTTCAAGACCAATCAAATTATATTAAAATTACTAATATAAATACTATTAATTGTAATATTAATACAATTTGTATATATAATATTATATGATCACATAATATTATAATATAATCTTAATTTTATAAAAAATAAATTATAAATTTTAATATTATTAAAATTTTTATATCTCAAAGGAAAAGATTATTTTTTAATTCTTGTTAAAAAAAAAACCTTATTTATTATTAATAAATTATTAATTTTAGTTCAAAACAAACAAAAAATTTATCAATATATCTATTGTTTCAATACGTTGATTCAATAGTGATCGATCAATCGCGAATGAATAAACAAAAATTCTGAAAATAAAAATCTGAGAAAAAAACGACAAACAAATAATATATAATAGGTAAAATTCATTTAAAGCAATCATTTTCCCTTCCGTGGAAAAGAAAAGGGAAAGTGTGCATGTTTTGGAACAAGAAGCTACTTTGCCGAACGTGAGTAACAAAAAAAATCAAAAAAAATGTAAAATCAATTGTTTTTGTATATGATCCTCTGAAATATGCTCTGATGAAGATAATTTTCATAAAAACAATAAATCGAATATATTCTAAAATATAAATTGACAAATAATTTCTATCAAATCAATTATTATTTTAAGTGATATTCTATATACATATTAATTATATTGTTTTATTATATTAATGTATTATTATTAATAAAACATAAATTATATATTGCACTATAATAAAATTCTAATGAAATATTTTCTTCATAAACTCACTTGATTTTCCGGAGTTACATTCTTGAATGGGTTGAAGAGTTCGTGGCATCATTAAATTAAATTTTTCGTCTTTTTTATACAACTGAATAATAATTCACAAACACTTGTATTCATAAAATCTATCATGAAGACGTTCAAATTAATCGATGTTCATCCGGATCGATTGAAACAAATTTTCTGTCAGGATCACTTGATTTTTGTCATTCCGATGATTATCACAAAACGTCACATTTTTTTTTAAATTTTTGCAATTATCTTCATTTTATATAACTCAAGTTTAATTTTTCATTAGAAATTTTTAAATTTGCTTATATAAATTTATCTTATTATAAATTTTATGACTATACAATTCATTGATTATTTCGGTATAAAAGAATTTTAATTTTAATTGTCTATCGCCATATTATAAACATAAATTATAAATTGAAAAGTTAAATTGATTTATATCACTGATGCACGTGCATTCTTTATCAGAAATCACGTGTAGACTAGCTTGCAATCCGCAAGTTGCGAAAGATCTACCGATCTCCAAGACTGACTTCCAATCTCTGAAATACAAATGGTTAACTTTCGGAAAAATGGCGGCACTCGTAAACGCTCTGTGATCACGAATATCACTTATACTAAACTACGATACTAAAATGAACCGAGTAAACGAATGAACCTAAAACTTAGTTGTGACTTAGTAGAAGTGTGTTACATATTTATTTGATTTCAACACGTTTCTTTTCTATGAACGTTTTCTATTCAGAAAAAAAATATAGATGTGTATGTTGAATATGAATATAAGTGATATATAGCATTGTATGAAATTCATGTTTGGATTTTTATCTTTTTTTTTATGATAAAATAAAAAACAAAAAATTGGAAGTGCAAGAGAGAAAGTTGAAGAATGATTATGATACAAGATTTCAGCACTTTCGTTTTATTTGAAATTTAAAACTTATTGTTCTCATAAACTTTGTATATTTTATAATTTATTTCTTAATATAAGAAATAAAATATATTTTAAAAATATATTTCTTTTTTCGAATATAATAAAAAAATATAAAAATAATAGTTATATATTCAATGAAAAACAAAAAATTTAATGTACAAAAATTAAAAATCTTTTTATATATAAAATATTACTTTTTGATTTTTTTTAAAATGTTCCTAATGCATTTTTAATCACAATAATTTTCTGTATAAAATCTTGTACTTTTATTGACAAGTCATAAAACAATATTTAAATAATATTTCTTACATTACTGATCCAGAAGAAGTATAAATACATATTATAAAGCTTATTTTTAATTATTGTAATGAATTTAAAATATATTAATAATAAATGATTTATAAGATTAAAACTATTCCATATATATTTCATAATACTTTTACTGTATTTTTTATTTACTAAATAAACATACTTTCATTATGCTTAAGAAATTAATTGTTGTTCAATATTGGATAGAAATAAGAATTATTTGTACATTCAAAACATTGATCATACAAGAAAAAGGAAATAAATGAAATTATGTTGTAAACTTAAATATTTACAAAGCTAAATTTTTACATTAAGATCAGTCTTATTTACCCCTGATCTTGTAGTGTTCAATGTTGATTCTTCAATGAAATATATTTTAAGGAAATTAATTGTGATCTTTTCTTAAGATACATCTTGAGAAGGCATTATTTCATCAAATGATCCGATAATATTTCATTGTCACTTTTTTTTAGAACCAAAACCTGAGAAACCCATTATTGCTGCCATTTCATCTGAAGGTCCTCCATTATCTTCATTGACTTCTTCAATTTTTCTTTTCTTGTCTTTTCTTTTCTCTTTTCTATATTCTTTAATTTTCTCTTCCTATGAATAAAAGATACATATTTAAAAATAAATATATTTTTAAATAAAATATATTTGAAAATCTGAAAATAAAACCTCTTCTTTTAATTCTTTTACTCTTTGTTCTAAGTCATAATCTTTTTTTTTTTCTTCCAATTTCTTTTTATTCATTGCAAAGCGAGCTTTAACTTGTTCTAATGTAGATCTTTCTATTTTCATTGACATACCCAAATTACGTTGATCTGAAAAAATTCATCTATGAAGTTAATATTTAGTCATACAAAAAAACATAACATACAAAAACAATAAAAATAATAAATAATAATTGATTACGTTTGGTGCCATTGATGTGATCTAAGAAATTAATTGAATCCTTGACAACACAATCACAAACATTACAATAATACCTATAAATATAATAATATAATATAAATATTATATAAATTAATAATATTATATAAATATTATAATAATATTATATAAATTACAAATTATATCTATTTTAATTAATTTTTAGAAAATAATTTAAAACTTTTTACCCTCCAGTTTGTGATGATGGAGTATTTTTATTAATAACAACACTTTTTCCTAATTTAGATTCAAGATCAACTTTGTAATCTCTTTGTTTGAGCAATTCTCTTTTTACTGCTGGTTGCTTTGGAATTCCCAATTCTTCTTCTGCAATTTCATCCTGCAGACGTTGAAGTGCTATTCTTTCATATTCTTCTCTGTTCCATTTGCGTCTATGGTCATCAGGTCGCTAAAAAATAAATAATATTATATTATTTAAATTAATTTTAACAATTTTTTTTATTTAAATATAATCCAATTAGTATTTTATATATCAATTTATCTTTATATTTTTTGACATATATATTAATTATATATATTAAAAATTATAATTATGATTAAATTATGATTTAATTTTTCTATTTTCTAAATTCTATTCTTCTTTTTTTTTACTTTTAATTTAATATTATCACTTTATTTTTATTTTTATTACTTTAATGCATATGTAAAATCAGGTTATAAAATATGTCAAATGATAATTTTATCAAAATTATAGAAATTATTTTGATATATATAAAAACATGATGAAATTTTTAATACAAAATCTCATATAAATAAAAATTAT